CCGCTTTCTGTCCGCCTGTTTGTAATTAAACGGATGGACGGCTCGCACTTGACAGCGGATTGCCATACATAGACGGCTTTTTTCCCCTGCTCGCTTACGCCCCCTAACGTGCGCATGAGCAGGACACTGTAAACATTTGTTACAGCCGGTGTTGGTTGTTACATACAAGCATTCAGGCAGCTATAGAGCCGCTCAATCACTTGTAAGGTGCGTGGGAGTGTGCACCGCCCCTCCACTGCCAGCTATCATGAGCTATGCTGTCCAGGGCCATAGCGAGGGCGAGGCGACTAAGGCTCTCGCCTCGGGTGCAGCTGCAGGGGGGACGCAGCCAGTAGGGAGAAGTGGGGCCTTTCCTCTGGATCCCCGCTGCTCTCCCCATCTGTATGCAGCAGGGATCCGAGGAGAACAGCGGGGATCCAGAGGAAAAGCTGCAGGCTGAGCCCCCCTCTGTGCATGGCCGAGCTAGGGTTGCCACCTGTCCAGGATTCACCTGGACAGTCCGGGTTTTGAATGCTATGTACGGGTTTCCTGGCAGCAGAAACCCGGACACAAGATGTCAGGCAGACAGGGGCAACCAAAATTAAGATAGGGGCTACTGGCCCCCCCACTGAAAATAGTCTCAAATGTGATATTTACACAAGAATGGGTGGCACTATTTACATATGAATTAGCCACGACTCATACTACTATGTGTCCCCAGTTATGAATGAACAGGATGTGCTTTCCATCACTTCCTGTTCAATCATGAGTTCCTCAATGGGTAGTAGCACTCACTATAGCGGCCTCACCCCATTTAGAAACTGATTGATGGTAAATATTTTCTGAATGAATGAAAAGCCTCTGTACTTTCCATTCATTTACAGCAGATGCTGCAGAAAAGAGATTGAGGACTGTTTAGACCCCTAATATTTCCCCAAAGCCCCCCAACAGTACAAAAAAAAAAAAGAAAAAAAATGTACATTCAAAAATAAAAAAAATAATAAAGAAATAATAAAAAATAAATTAAAAAAAATATATATAAAAAACACATCCTGGAGGTGGGGCGCATGATATCACATGGCACCGCGCGTGCGCAGTTCTGGGTGACGTCACATGCCTGTTGTGGGGGGGGGGGCACTTTTTTTTTCTTGCCTTAGGCGCAAAAGGAGCTAGCTACGGCTCTGCTGCTGTCCCTCATGCGGGCCTGGGACTGGCACAACAGGTCTGTGCACATTGATCGGAGGGAGATCAGCACACTTCAAGCGGTTAATCTCCCCTCCAATCACTGAAAGCAGAAGTGATGTGAATTACATCACTTCTGCTTTCAGTGAGTCTTTTATTCAGGTGATGGAGCCGGAAAAGAAGCTGGTGAAGCAGGTCTCTGCTTCATCAGCTTCTTTGGGGGTCCATAGGTGACATTAGGGGTTTAATAGATCCCTGATCTCTCCATAAAGAGGACCTGTCTCTGTATCTGTGCTATCACATAGGGGACTTGTCCATCTATCTTGCATCCAGGTATAGTGATCTATTTCAAAATATATGTCATTATATCATATAGTAACCAATCAGCTTCTCTTCAGTTTGAAAATAAAAGATAGAAGATCATTGGTTGCCACGCAGCTGCTCCAGATTTTGCCTGCTCCAGTTTTGATAAATGCCCCTCATTATATTCATATTTTTAAATTGACTGAAAGAATTTCAGGACAACTTTTTATTTACCTTTGCACTGGGGCTACCCCCCCACTACAAGGGTTAAATACTCATTTTTGTCTAGGTCCAAAAATAACAAAGATGTACTTATCCAAAGCTCTGAGCATGCTAGACGGCTGTCACAGCGCTCCCTCTAGCCTGTCTCCTCCACCTCTGCAGCACTGGAATCTTCCTCAGCGTCCTCACATTTTATACACTGTGGGGGGAATTTATCAAGACGAGAGCAGACAGAATCTGGAGCAGTTGCTCATGGCAACCAATCAGCATCTCTCTTCAGTTTGCTCAAGTACGATTTGAAAATGAGACAGAGAAGCTGATTAGTTGCCATGCACGACTGCTCCAGATTTTGTCTGCTCCAGTTTCCATAAATTCCCCCCTTGTGTATACGTGATTATTTGCAGGGCCTTAGACTGCTGCAGAGGAGGGGAAGTGAGACTGAAAAGAGCGGTATAAGGGCCGAACCACACCAGATGCATTGGGGCTGCACTGGCCATTGTTTCCAGGACAGCCCCAACGCAAGACAAGGCAACCAATCAGCATCTCTCTTCAGTTTGCTTAAGTACGATTTGAAAATGAGACAGAGAAGCTGATTAGTTGCCATGCACAATTGCTCCAGATTTTGTCTGCTCCAGTTTCCATAAATTCCCCCCTTGTGTATATGTGATTATTTGCAGGACCTTAGACTGCTGCAGAGGAGGGGAAGTGAGACTGAAAAGAGCGGTTTAAGTGCCGAATCACACCAGATGCATTGGGGCTGCACTGGCCATTGTTTCCAGGACAGCCCCAACGCAAGACAAGGCAATTTGTTCACACCACCATGTTGCAATGGGAAACGGAAATGCTGGACTTTTTTTCAGTGCAGCGGGATGCATTCAGCTGTACCCATAGAACTGAATGAAATGTCACTTGTGACATTTCAATAAAGTTCTACCAAAAAGAAAAACAATTAGCACAGTATCTGGTGCGAATAGGCCCTACGAAGCCAACTCAAAGCTGCAGGTGGGTATAACTTTTTTTTTTAAACCTAAACACAAACGAGCACCGAACCCTTGCAATGCGGTGGTAGCCCTACTGCAAGAGTTAATTTTAAAAATCCTGGAGTTCTTCTTGGCACCATACACTGCTTTTCTGACAATACTTGAAAAGATAGGAGTATCGTAGCTTTTGAAACTAACAGAATCCCCCTTTGCACAGCTTAGAACCTTTTATGACATTAACAGATGAATCTATCAATCAAAGCGGCCGGTGACATCACAAGGGGAGGGGCCTATGATACACGTAATGTGGGAAAGATCGGCGCTCGCATTCGGCTACAAAGCGGAGGGAGATCTGTTTTCTTTTCTGTTTCACATTGGATAGGTGAGAGTCTGTACTTGTAAACAGGACGCCTCTGTACCCCTTCTAGAGGACACACGGCCGGGGAACACGCATGCGCAGTGCGGCTGTCGCGTTTAGATGACGATACACGATATCATTGTCAAGGTGCATGGTGGATTACTCGGGAAAAGAGTCTGTCCATGTGTCCTTTTGCCTTGTTCTCTTTTGAAGCCTCAGTTAGGGACTTTCTAAATAAAGCTGGCCATACACTCCTGAACAAGAAAAATCACTGTTCTCCATCCCCGGCTAATGAACCAGCATAGAGGAATCTCCCACTCTGACACCACGTCTGCCAGAGTACCTGAAAAGTGACTGCAGCTTATTGGCTACAGTCACTGTTCATCTTATGTTTTTCCACACGATCCTTCAACAAAGTTTGATTGAAAAACTGTGCTTCACCATTAAGATAATGTTCTCAGTGTGATCAAAAGTGTTGGCTTTTTCGGCCCAACGCGTCTTGTGCAAAAAGGACAAATTGTTCAGTTTTAATCCTTTTATACAATAGAATCTTTGAAAAACAGTTTCTCCATCTCCAACTGTGGCTTTCTTCTTGTCACTGTACAGTCCATTATCTGGGTTAGGGCTGTGCTTATAATGAAGCAGCCTGATAGAGACAGGTGGTCTCTCTCTCTTGAGGAGGGGGGGGGCATGTTTGCAGTGTGGCTGCCGCCCCTCTTTCTGGACAGAGCATCCCCGGTTGTTAAGAGGGATGGGGCGATATATAAGGGCCATTCACATCTCTCCGCTGAGCCCTTATCAACCTGGGAAGCTGTCTTTCTGGACAGAGCGTCTCCGGTTGCTAAAAGCCGGATGGGGAGATATATAAGGGCCATTCTCATCTCTCTGCTGAGCCCTTACCAACCTGGGAAGCTGTCTTTCTGGACAGAGCGTCCCCGGTTGCTAAGAGCCGGATGGGGGTGATATATAAGGGCTATTCACATCTCTCCGCTGAGCCCTTACCAACCTGGGAAGCTATCTTTCTGGACAGAGCGTTCCCGGTTGCTAAGAGCCGGATGGGGGTGGATATATAAGGGCCATTCACATCTCTCCACTGAACCCTTACCAACCTGGGAAGCTGTTGCCTGCGTCCTGCCGAGTTCCTGGCAACCCTATAGCTCCCCGCCACCTAAGGTGGCAAAAAAGCTAGGGAGGCCCTATTTTGGGTTTTTGTTGTCCCATAAATCGTTTCTCAGATCTCAGATGTGGTTCTTCTGGTGCTTGAGAGTTATCAGGCCTCTTGGTTGCCCCTCCAAGTAATGCCCTTTGCACCTGGTCATCTAGTTTTTATCCACACCATAGAATATTGTGAACGTGTGTCAAACATGCATAACAGTGCAGGCTTTCACGCACGTTCAGGAAACAAGCACCAAATGCGGAACATGCTTGCAGTGCCATTACTAGTTTGAATACTAACTAGCATTTGCTACATGCACTACTTTCCTGAGTTTAGTATGCGTCCAGGAACCCATTGAAATCAATGGGGATGTGTGCCAAATGCAGGAAACAAACACCCGTACATGAACAGCACCGCAACACGCTATGTCACTACGCTTTGGTGTAAATGGGGGCTTAGTTTTGGTGCATAGCATTCTCTAGCCAGAAATGCGGTTGTGCCATATTCCTTCCATTTTTTAATAACCAATATATTGGATTTTTTTGGAACTCAACTCTGATTGGTTCTTCTCCAGAACATTAACCAGGATTTTGTTTGATAGCTTGTTGGTCTTCATATTGCTGTTTGTTTAGGTATGTTCTCTAACAAACTTTAGGATTCTTGCAAACAGATGCATTTATTTTAAGATCATGTGACACCTTAATTGCCCACAATTGCTACACATATACAGTTTATAGCTTTCCATACATACTTTACATATACGATTTCCAGTGTCTAATTGTATGTTTTTTGTTTTTTTCCCCCACATTAGTTAAAAATGATGCTGATCAAGTCATCTTTAAAAAGAATCAGACTTTTGGTTTCTTTCCATACATCAGTAGTTAGGTTTGGAAGTTCGGTACAACAAGGTCTCGTTTTGCAGTCTGTTTCCAACAATGTATATGAGAACCTGGCTGTAGAGGACTGGATTCATGATCATATGAACCTAGAAGAGAGGAACGTTCTGTTTCTGTGGAGGAATTCACCAACAGTGGTCATCGGCCGTCACCAGAATCCGTGGAAAGAATGTAACCTCCATTTGATGAGAGAGAAAGGTATTGGCCTGGCAAGGAGAAGAAGTGGCGGTGGGACAGTGTATCATGATCTGGGCAATGTTAACCTAACTTTTTTCACCTCAAAGAAAAAGTATGATCGGGTGGAAAATTTAAACTTGGTTATTAGAGCTCTTAAAGAATTGCAGCCATTTTTGAATGTCCAAGCAACACAAAGATATGATCTGCTGTTAGATGGCAAATACAAAATTTCAGGGACTGCATCCAAGCTTGGAAGGACTGTTGCCTATCACCACTGTACTTTGCTGTGTGGTGCAGACAGCTCTCTTTTACCCTTAGTGCTACAAAGTCCGTACACAGGCATACAGAGTAATGCCACACCAAGTGTTCCCTCACTGGTACGAAACCTGTCCCAAGCTCATTCATCCTTGACATGTGAAACTGTCATGGATGCTGTTGCCAAACAATACAGTTTAGAGTATGATAACAAGCCACATGTTCATGTAGTCAACCCAACTGATGAAACGATCTTCCCTGGGATATCGCAAAAGAAACAGGAATTGCGCACTTGGGAGTGGATTTATGGAAAAACACCAAAGTTCGACATTGTAACTTCCTTTGAGGTTTTTCATGAGGATTCCATCATAGATGTGAAATTAACTATGGCCATAAAAAACGGATGTATAGAGAGTTGCTCTATTATACTGCCATACCAGTGGCTTCCAAAAGAACAGTGTGATGAGCTGCAAGACATTTTGGTGGGCAGTAAATTTTGCTCAAGCGAAACTGTGTTTTTAGTGAGTGCTTTGATCAGAACTTGTGACGATTATGAAATTCAAGCAAAGTGGAACCTTTTATGTCAGAAGCTGGTTTCAATAATGTGATTTAGTCATAAGTCTGATGGTAATAGGTTTTTAGATAAAGGATTGGACATATTTGTTGAAGGAATCTATATTTATTAACAGTTTTTATAGCAACATCCTATATCTAAAACATGAAAGAATAATTGAAAGTAACAGAAAAATGACAATTGTATAAGGGCAATAAAACTGATGTGTTCAAACAATATTTGCACAATGGAAATATTTTAGAAAATGCCAGACTTGTTTGAAAGATCATTCACTTATTTATTACATAATGGAATATTTAACGGGCACCAACCCTGTATATTGATATTCTTCCCATGTGAGGGTTCTAAGTTTGCCTTAAATAAGAAGTATTGGGCGAGTAAAATGTACCCTTCCCTATAGTTTGAGCCAGCGTGTGACACTGAAGCTGTCACACACCAGCATTATAGCTTGACAACTGAGCGATCACACACCTCTGATCGCTCGGCTCATGGTTTCTCCTTGTAGAGACTGGTGACTGTCAGTCACCATTCCCTGCAGGGATTTCCCCCTCCCCTCTCTCTGTGCCTCCAACGCTCATTGTAGAGACAGACAGAGGAGGGGGCAGGCACAGCTGGCTCTTGCTCTAGAGATTCTCAGATTTCTCTCTTCTAGTGACCAAGGCTTATCCTGTAGTTTTAAATTTGACCACTAGGTGCCAGACTTGTCATTTTAATAAGTATATTTTACATACTATATACAGTATACTGTACAAATACAACCATTCTGCATTTTTAGCATGTACTGTGTATGAGGTAAGCAGTATGTAAAAGTGGAGATTAATATCACTTTTAGGTAGACGTGACACTTCACAGCAAATATTTTCAAAGAAGTACATATACTGTAGATGAAACCTAAACACAAGGTTGCAGTACTAAAGTCTAACACAAAGTTTTCACAAGTGGCAACAGTTTTGAGCTCCATGGTTCATTCTCAAGCCAGAAATAGTACATTATATTAGGTTCACCAAATAAGAAGAGCAACCAGATGTTACCAAGGTAAACATATTAAACAATATACACCAATCAGCCATAATATTATGACCACTTAGAAGGCAAGTTGAGGAGGCAATTTGATGCTTTGGGCAATGTCCTGCTGGGAAACCTTGGGTCCTGTCATTCATATGGATGTTACCTTGATACATACAGTACCACCTACCTAAACATTGTTGCTGACCAAGTACACCCCTTCATGAAAAGGATCTTCCCTGATGGCAGTGGCTTCTTTTAGCAGGAGAATGCGCCTTGCCACACTGCAAAAATGGTTTGAGGAATACAACAACGAGTTTGAGATGTTCACCTGGCCTCCATATCCTCCATATCTCAATCCAATTAAGCATCTGTGGGATTTGCTGGAAAAACAATCCGATCCATGGAGGCCCCACCCTGGAAGTTACAGGAAGTAAAGTATAATTAAACTCTCCTTTGTTTTTGCATATATCTACTGCTAGCAAGCAGTAAATATATGTAAAAACATAAAAAAATTAAAAGTTACCAAAAAAGTAAAAACTTACCTTTGTCTCCGCCGCTCACTCCCAGCTGAAGATCTGTAGCTTCAGGAGTGGCCGCGCAGGACAATGGAGCGGGCGGATGTGCAGTAAAGATCGTTGGCGGGGGGAAGAGGAGAAACACAGTGGCGGTGAATGCACGCAGCTGGTAGCATGCACGTCGGACAGACCCCATGGAACAGGATGCGATTTATACAATTGCCACATAATTCATATTTGATTTACACATTTTTAGTATTTAGATCACATTTTTGTGGTCTACCACTGTGGTTTTTCACAACATAATTATCATCACTGAATAGAGATTGAACAAAATATTAGACGGGTCAAGGTTTAATGGTTTATTTGTTCTAATCACTTCCCCACGATTTATAAATCACAAAATCACTATGAAATATTGATACGTAATCCCACACAAAAGACACGATTTTTTGATTTCAATTATTGGCATCTAACCTTCTTAAACAAAGGTTTATGACTGAAACTCTTCTTTTTTTTATGAACTAGTAGGGGGAATACACAAAACCAAGCGCAACATACTGGCTCACAAGGATGAGACAGGAGTCTGCGCTGGGCCAGAGACCGGCACTAGCGCTTGAGGGACTGCTGAATACAAGTGGAAGGAAGAAGGTCGGATCAAGAGGCATCATTTAGGGTAAGTACTTAAAGCAGCATGGGGGTGGGGTTTGTGACTTTAATGTCACATTAAAGGATGTGCTACTGACGGCTTGGATCCAGATACCACTGCATTCCTTCAGAGGTCTAGTGGGGTCCATGCTTTGATGGGTCAGGGCTGTTTTGGCAGCAAAAGGTGGATTTATATAATATTAGGTGGGTGGTCATAATGTTATGGCTGACCGGTGTACTTGACTAGCTTTTTTTGCCATCTCGTCCATTCTCATAATCAATATCTGGTGAAATGGGAGCCCTGTTGTCTTCATAAGTATATCGACTTAATGTTACTCAGTCTACAGTTCATTATCTTACACAGTACCAAATCGGTTACTTTTTTTGGACACTCTCATTTACCTGAATGTTGAAATCCACTAACAACATTTCTTTAATTCTAGAATCAAATAGTGACTGGTCCTTTACTGCAGATAATTGTAAGGTGCATGAGCACCTTAACACACACAAGTAGAACAACATTCAGGAAATTGTTAAGGGGAACGTCATAAAGGTTTTCTTCACACCAAGGAGTGGGGTGTAATTAACAGAGACCTGATTATTATTGGTTTTAAAAACGGGTTTCATAGGTTGTCTGTGTTGGTTAGTAAGCTGAGCACAGTGACATTTTGTATTTAGCTATCTTTAGCTAGCTACCCTTACTATTGTTAAATTGCAAAAAGCAATTGTTTTTGCTTGAAAATAATATCATCAGTGATAGTCAGCACGGATTCACAAAATACAGAAGTTGTCAAACAAACAAACCTACTTTCTTTTTATGAGGGAGTAATAAATTGGACAGAAGAATGCCTGTGGATATCGTATACGTGGACTTTGCAAAAAGCGTTTGACACAGTTCCCCACATGCGGCTAATGTATAAGTTAAGGTCAGTAGGTATAGAGTATTCAATCTGTAATTGGATAGAAAACTGGCTTAAAGACCGTATTCAGAGAGTGGTGATCAATGATTAATACTCTGAATGGTCTGAGGTTTTTAGTGTTGTCCCGCAAGGTTTAATGTTGGGCTCCTTACTGTTTAACCTATTTATAAATGACAGAATAGGGGAATAAAAGTACTATTTCTGTGTTTGCAGATGACACTAAGTTATGTAGTGGAATACAGTCCTTACAGGATGTCTCCAACTTACAGGCAGATCTGAATGCACTGCATGATTGGGTGTCTATTTGGCAAATTAGGTTTAATGTTGATAAATGTAAAGTTCTGCACTTGGGGACTAAAGACACGCATGCGTCATACACTCTAGGGGGAGTATGTTTGGGGAGTCAATGGTGGAGAAAGATCTGGGTGTTCTGGTAGATCATAGACTCAATAATAGCATGCAATGTCAAGCTGCAGTTTCTAAAGCAAGCAAAATACTTTCTTGTATTAAGAGGGGTATAGACTACAGAGATGGAGACATCATCCTGCCCCTGTACAAAGCATTAGTAAGACCTCATCTGGAATATGCAGTTCAGTTTTGGGCACCAGTTCACAAAAAGGATGTTGTGATACTGGAGAAAGTGCAGCGAAGGGGTGGGGTGACCAAACTCATAAGAGGCATGGAGGAGCTCAGCTATGAGGAAAGATTAGCTGACCTGAATTTGTTCTCTCTGGAGAAGAGGCGATTAAGGTGGGACATGATCACCATGTATAAATACATAAATGGTCAATATAAAGAACTTGGTGCCAAATTATTCACGTTAAGGTAACTGCAAAGGACAAGGGGGCACTCTTTGCGTCTGGAGGAAAAGAGGTTTAACCTTTGCATACGGAAAGGATTCTTCACAGTTAGAGCTGTGAAAATGTGGAATAGACTCCCCCAGTAGCTTGCTCTAGTTAGCTCGGTTAATTGTTTAAAAAAACATCTGGATGTATTCCTAAATGCAGCACCTGCCATTGCTTGAATGATTGCACCCTTACCAATATTTTCTTTTTGCTGTATATACCGGATGTTCCATGGAGAATTCTAGAGAAGAATAGTGTTTACTTTTCTTACCTCATAGTTATATGAGATAAACAGTGACTAAGCAAGACATGTCTGCATCCCTGAAGATTATAAAAAGCTCATCATGATAGAACATTTCAGATTCTACCCACAATAAGTTACTCTGCTGTGGTGATCCTCTTGGCTGAACTTACACACTGCTCTCCAGCTATTTTTTTTAAAGAAAACTATCTCATCCCTTATTCCTAAATTTCATGTTATTCATGCAGACAGCAGCAGTGTGTAGCTACAGCTCGCGGTATACTGAGACGCCGCAGCTGAAACGGATCCGGACAATTATGTCTGGATCCGCCCAGCTGCGTGAGTGACAGCTGGCTCTGCCTATCTAGAGGCAGAGCCAGCTGTACCCACCCCCTCCCCCGTCCATTCCGCCAGTCAGCACTAGAGGATCGGAGCAGGGAGGGGGGAATCCAGTTCCTCCCCTGTCACGGCTCTCTGCCGTGAAAGGATCGAGAAGTGAGCGAACACCGGTATGTGTTCGCTCACTTCCCGATCTACTGAGCTGACCTGTGACAGTTTCATTGTCACAGGTCAGCTAGAACTATGAGGATGAGTGAAAATCACTCACCTCATAGTTCTCATTTAAAGTCTGGGGGGGAAAAAACGAGCTGTAAACAGCTGTACTTTTTTCTGTGTTTGGCATTAATGGAGGATCCTATCATTACATCTATTTCTCTGTAACAGTCATTGCTACCTTTTACACCCATAAAGACCCAAATACAAGAAACTGAAATAACGGCAATCTATTTATAGATATGAGCTGAGAGAAATATGAATGATGTATTTACAAAGCGGGACAGTACATGTAACCTAGTAAC